CAATAAACCTTGCGCGAACAACAAATAAAACATGATAAACCGTCTACGAAATTACAACCGTTAAAACAATTTCATCTGACTCATGCATCATCAACATTATGTCGTTGTCTATTTTGACTTCCTCCAACCAAAAATTAGGTCTTCCTGTCGCAAGTGAGATGGCTGTTCTTCTTCGCTGGATCCTTCTAATTTGTTCCCCATCCTCGATGTCTCCCTCTAGCCATCACATCAACTCCCTCTTCAGACGCTCCATGGAGTGAATGTGCTAGAATTTCATTTTCATCGGAGGTTTTGTGGCCGAGAAAATAATGTAACCATCTCTGGTAAAAATCATAGGCGATGTCATGACGCAGATAACAGAGAAAAAAATAAGAGGACAGTGCGAGAAAGTGTGAGGAATGATGGAGAAACGGACAAATTATTTATAAAAATGCATTTTGCCATAGGAGCCAAGTGAGATGGCGCCTCCATTCACTTTTAAAGTGAATGCGCCATCTCACTTGGCTAAAATAGAGTACATGCGCCAAGTGAGATGGAGCCTAGGGCAAAATCCTAGGTGCATGCGCCAACTGGGTTGGCTCCTCCCTTGTGGGGTTTTCTGAAACATGGTTATTTGCGTAATTTTATTCGAAACATGGTTATTTGCGAACTTTTTTTTAATACCTAGTTATTACAAAAAAAAAATCCCTCTCGTATTGAAGAATGTGAGAATAATGTCCATCATCTCTGCATGATCGTCTGAATCAGTGGTTCCATTGTATGACGCTATTCACAAGGAATTTAGAAGATACTTGGAGACAAATATATGTTAAGATAGAAATGAATATGTTCTCTAGAGGGAGTTATTATTTATACCAATACCTTTTTAACGAGGAAGATTGATGATGATGGTAGGATGAAGACTCATCTTTGTGCCCATATTCTTCATACTTTCGTGGAGTGAAACCAAACATCCATGCATTCCTCCATGGCGTTCACAATGCTTGTGTAATCCGGTGGGGAAGTCTTCTATTTAAAGATGATAACTTGGGGTCAAAGGGACCATACTTATCAGATTCGGTCAGTGGAGACACAGAACATTAGAAAAATGGTTACCGAGAATCATGAGTTCTGGTCTGTCATTTTAGGTATTATTTTTTAGGTATTACTCTCTCAGTTTCTCTTTTACATTTTCATTTTCTCGCTTGTTTTGTCCCATATTTCCGTATTTTTGGCATTTCATAATTTGAAGAAATTTGGGTAAAATATTTGTGTTTTTAGGCTCATCATTTTCCTTGTTACAATTCTTCTTTGGACGACCAATAACTACCATCTTGACTGGAGAGTTGATTGACTCAATTTAATATGTTGGTCATAGTTATGGGTCATTTGTTGGCAGGATAATATGAAGAGGGACTAAAATCCTAAATAAAATAGAGGGACTACAAAAACCGATTTTTAAAATTGAAGGACCAAAATCGAAAAGAAGAGATAAGTAGGAGAACTAAAATTACAATTAAGCCTCAATTTTTATTTTAAATACCTTTAAATTATTACAAATGAATAAGAGTTCAATGGTATACACTTAAAATTTACGGTATAATGTGACTGGATTCATGATGGTGATTGATTGACACTACATGGAGGAATTAACATCTCACCCCCTGAAATACATGACACCCCCCAAAGGGTATGAAAAGACAAAATTATCCAAACCCAAATTTTTTTCATAAATTCCAAATCTGTGGTCCACACCGAAAATTTTAAATTTCCTGGGCGATACCAGAAATTTGTTGAACAAGTAAGGAATTTATGATAGATTTGTGATATTTTCGGCACTTTATACCATAAATTTCAAAAAATCTAGTATATTTGAACCGATAATTTTGAAATTTCCAGGTAATATGTTTATCTTTTGTACCGGAAATTTCAAAATTTCTGGAGCTTAACAGCACGTATCGGAAATTTCAAAATTTCCGGTAGTTTAATTTTTTTTTAAAAATACCGGAAATTTAGAAAATTCTGGTAGTACATATTTTCCTAATTTTTTTTAATGTTTCAGTGAGGACCAGAGGTAAAGATGGTTCTGTTGTGAGTAGGGTGGCCGATAAGGCAGAAGCTCAGGCCTGGAATGACAAGGCACATGCTTCCGAGCAATGGGTTGGACGATGTGCTATTTATGACTGGTTCTCACCGGAAACGGCTGGATGAGCAGCAAGCGTAGTTCCGCGCACCCCATCACCGAGGACTTATAGATTTTACTACTGAGGAGGTACATGATCCTGCTCCTATAGATGTGCTTGTGATTGAGTCGACTGGTGAGCAACATATTGAGAAGGTTGTGCATGTTATGGAGTCGACAACTGAGCCAGAAGTCGAACAGGTTGTGGATTCGAAAATTGAGGAGATTGTAGAGCAGGTGGACAAGGCTATTGCTGAGCGCATTGATGAGGTATTCCTCATTGATATAGAAATCACGACTCGTGTGTCTATGGAACCATCAGTTCAAACTGATTGAGTCTTTTTATAAGGATCTTGACAGGTCCGTGCTGACAGGATTTGGTGACCATGTCGCTTACAGGATATGGCATGGTGAGATATATACTTTGTTTTCTTTAATTGCATACTTTTTCAAGTGTTTGAAAGTTAATGCAATTTTCTTCTTCTTACATGAGTGCCCAATGCTGAAGGTCGCTTCTCATGGTTCGAAGTTGAAGAACTTCTCAAAGAGTCCTATGCCAGATGAGGTCAGTAGTATTGTTAGAGATTTCAGCTACTGAAGTTTTCCTAGTGCTCTTTGACTATGTTGGACGCCTCTATGTTGTCTTCTTTTGTTGAGCGGTGGCACCCAGAGACATCATCCTTTCATCTTCCATTTGGGGAGATGACGATCACATTGAATGATGTCGACGCCCTGTTTCACATCCTCGTCGCTGGTACATTCTACACACCTCCTCATATTAACCATGTGACGACGATGCACATGGTTATGGATGATTTAGAGGTATCTGAGGCGCAAGTTCTAGAGGAGTTTGGATTTAACCGTGGATTTCACCTTTAAATGTCTTGGTTGAGGAAATTGTATGTTGAGCTCGTGGAGGACCATAGGTACCAGGCTGCCTCTAGGGCGTACATGCTAAATCTAATGGCATGTACTCTCTTTGTTGACAAGTCTGGAGTTTACATTGATGTTCGCTACATATCTCTGTTCATCACACTTGACACTCCATGTTGGGCTTAGGGAGTGACAACGTTGACCATGCTGCACAAGACACTTGACGTTGCTTCTCAGCCTGAGACCAGACAACTTGTTGGTTACCTTAGCCTTTTTCAGATATACTATAATTTATTTAATGGTTTTTATTAGTTATTTAGGTGTATTTATATGATGGTTTTTATTTATCTAGTGTTGTATATACGAGCACTTCCCTCACATTTGTGAGTGGAAGATCAAGCGTGTCCCAACTACTGTTCCATGTGCGAGGAGATGGAAGGGTAAACAAGCCCATCCAAAAGGTGTGATGGCGTACAGGAGGAGGCTCGATGCAGTGATCGTAGAGGATTTCGTATGGACACCATATACATCTCATTGTTCTCATCGTGCATTTAAGTAGTCTACTTTGTATTCAGGGTATATTAGATGGGAGAGCCATGTGGCTACACACTTTTTCGAGAGGTGTCTACACTAGTATGGTTATGTACAGGGCATCTCTCGTCCAGTTCTGGACACTCCGTGCATTGATAGATAGTTTGAGTCACATCATCAGCTCTCCCCGTGAGATCATGGATACAACAGTTGTGGTTCAGCATCTTTCATAGTGCGAGGATGGATACCTGGAGTGGTATCACAGTGTCACACCCTCGGGCCATACTACCGACAGCAGCATCTGATGTCTCGGGGCCTTCATGTGTTAGCGTTTCTGCCAAACCACCACCTCCACTACCTGCATGTGATTAGGACAGTCGTCTACAATTTATTGTAGTTCATTTAAATAACCTCATGGATTTGGTAAACCCTGATGGTGAGATCTATACAGGTTTAGGTAGGTTAGCTGACGTAGCCCGTGGAGGGCCTATATAGATCTGGTTTATTTTGGTTGTATTATATGTATATTTTGTGACACACAAACTTCTTATTTATTGCATAATATTTTGGCGATTACATGTTTCGAATCGATGATAAACATAATATAAAATGATACAATAAACATAAACCAAAAATAACTAAACGTGAAAACCTAGACACTACCAGATGATTATGGATGTTTCAGCATCTTCATTATGTCGTCGACGGATCTTTGGATCACCGCATCGAACTCGATCAGACCTTTAGTTATCCTACGGAAAAACGATTTTCACATGGCCTTCACATCTTCATCGGTCTTTAACTCAATCAGGTTGTATTTCACCCTTCCATTTGTATCAATCTAATCTTCTCAAAACTCGATCTTTGTCACCCTTCTGTTATCGGAATCAAGCAGCAGTTCATTCAACTTGTCTTTCAAGTTGTTGAAAGATGTGGTGTCATCTGAAAGCTTGAATTCAACAGTAGAGTTGTTTCCGTTGAAATATACTTATGCCTTAATCAGAAATTGAAAAACAGAATTGTTTGAGATGTTTTTCTCTATAACATTTTCTCTTATTTAAATAAATGACAATGCATTATAGACCACACAAATTTATCGGTATAATTAGAGTCTTCCAAAAATGTCGACAAAATCTCATTCGTTTAAAAAAATTGAATAAATAAATTAACGAAAATTGAAGTATATCTCAAATTTTCGTACTATAGGATAAATTTGAAAATTTTAAAATATCCGAAATTTCAAATATATTACCATAAATTTACATATATTTTGTGGTGTCTACCGAAATTTTCTCAATGAATAATTGTAATACTGGAATTTGTTGACCCACGTGCTTGACTTAATATAGAACAAGTCGAAGACTGTGTAGAGGTGACCGATTTTCCCAATTCGAGGCAAACCCTCGTTCCGAAATCGCGACACCGCGCTTATCTCATGGCCGCCTCTTCTTCCCCTCTCGCTTCCGATTCTTCCTCTCACCGCCGCAGGCGCCACCACCGTAATCGCCGTGACCGCGACAAGGACTCCCTTAAGATCCGAAAAAAAACCAAGTCTCACTCCCACACCAAACGACGTCGCAAACATCACCGCCACTCTTCCGATTCCGATTCATATTCTTCATCCTCCCTCTCTGATTACTCCAGGTTCGGATTCAATTCCTCACATAACTAATTACATGGTTATTTTCGTTTAATTTTTATTTATCTGTACATACATGATTTGATTCTATGGTAAATTTAATTCAATTTACTATCCATGAATTTTGATGTAAATACGTTCTCGAATTCTATGGAATACAATTGGAGGAATAGTTTATTCAACCTTTGTCTCTGTATTTTGGTTACATGTTGGTTACATATGTATGTTTGTATGTTTCCATTAATTTTGAATTATTCGCTTTTAGTTTAAAGTTTGCGTGTGTATTGGTTCTGCAGAGAAGAAAATTGATTTTGATTGAATTGATTCCGTAAAAGTGATTATGGCTAAAGTGAGTTGAACGTATAATGATTTATGTTTTAAGATAAGTTGTTGCAAAAGTGAGTCTAGAAGTGTAAAGATCACATTTAGACTCAAAAAATACAAACCCTAGCTTAAGTTGAATCAATTATAGGAAGCAAAATCAATTCTACCTGAGAGCAACAAAACATGTTAAAATCAATTCTTGGTGTTCCAAACGTGAAATCAAACATACACTGAGTTGAATTTGAAGTGATTCATGTTTCGATGAAAATGAATGTTAAAATCAGGTTTGGAGTCCAAAAGCTGCTTTAAGATAGAATCAGTTCTAGAGGCAATATCAATTCTACATCTCTAGGATCATTTTTGAATTGTGGAGCTTAATGCTTGTTCCTGTTTTATTTCTTTGACCATAAACAAAGCCTACTAAAGGCGTCCTTTGTTGAGTTTCCTTTTCCCTTTATAGTGTTTCTTCTTCACAATTTTGATCCTTATCTATTATTTCTTCATTCATGTTGTTGTCTCCTCTTTACTTTACTTTAGCTTTGGAAATAAAATGTCTTAAAAATGTTCAGTGTTGATGGATTGTGTGTCTATCTTATGAAAGACACTATCATTTTCAACAAGTGGCTACTTTTCAGTGTTGCTGTATGTTGGTGTGTGCTATTGGTATAAGAAACTTATGCCATTATGCATTAATAATTTGATTAAACAATGGATTAATCTGCTTCATATCATAAAACAAATTTTATTATGTTACTATAGAAGTGAGAGTTCTTCTGATAGTGAGCATGAAACATCTCATCGCACAAAGAAGCACAAAAAGAGCGACAAACCTAAGAAGGTGATTTGCTTGTACTATAATCTTTACAATTTAACATTTTTTCATTATCTCACCTCCTCAATTCCCTGCTAGAATAAGGAAAAGGAGCGAAGTAAATGTCATCGCCATAAGAGACAGAAGCACAACCTAAAAGAGGTAGGTCACTTTTTGATACATTGTATTCCGCTGTTTTGTTTATAAATAGTTTGGCATTCTTCATCTTTAAAGTTTCAACTCTTGTAGTGACTGAAATACCTACTCTGTGGGAGACCTGATTTCAGTTGTGTTATTATCTTTTTTTTTTGTTGGATAGGAAAATGATAGTAATTAGTTACGTTAGTATTCTCTTCACCAGGGTTTGAACCCGGATCCTCCAACTCATTTAGCCCATAGCCCAAAAACACGGGTTTGAAACTGGATCATCCAACTCATTTACCCCAGCTCAAAAACCTCGATTTGAACTCGGATCCTCCAACTCATTTAGCCCTTACCCCAAAAACCAGCTGAGCTACTCAACTTCCCAATATATATCGTCATCTTGTTATAAACTTGAGCCAACATGCTCAATCCTATTTGCTGGAAGTTTTTCTGTGTGGATATTCATCCATTCTAAGATTCATCAACTTAAGACACCCCTTAGAGCTACCCAACTCACTCGTTTATATAATCACCGTGTTCATAAACTTGAGTCAACATGCTCAGTCCTATTTGCTGGAAGATTTTTTGCGTGGATATTCTTCCATTCTACGATTCATCAACTTAAGACACCTCTAGATTATACTATCCCATCATCTTCTACGCCTTGAAAATATTGGTCTAATCTCTATGAAGCACGTACCCCTCTAGCTAGGACTTAGCGTGTCGTGGTATCCGACACTTGTATGACACTACACGTGTCCGAAAATTCATCTGTCCTAATTTTTCTCTCTTTCCTTTGCTTCGACACTCTTTGGATCGGTGTCTAACACCCGTATAACACTTATACAACACATGTCAGACAACTTAGACAAGTGTCCAATTTTTTTCTTCTTTGCTTCAACCGACTTAGATATTCTTTTGACATATCTTAGACACATGTGCTCGGATTAAAGACGTGTCAAAGCAATGTTGATAAATTAGGGTTAAAGATATTAAATTTGATTACAATATTTTTGCTTTTTCGATAATAGATGAATAAATAAAAGTCAAACACACATCTGGTCTAAGAATTTTTGTAATGAAATAAATTGCGCAATTTAGATGCTCATGTATATATTTTGATTTTCAATTTAAACATTTTATAAATAATGTAAATATTTTATTTGATTATAATAAAACATATATGTAGTGATGTCAGTGTCGCCATGTCCGTGTCAATGTCTGTGGTTCATCGCTCTAATGTTCTTGTTTCTTTTCTCGAACTAAAATTTGCATAATACAAAGAAGAATTTAATTCATGTATGTTTAGTAGATTCTAGTCTAAGATGCTTATGATACTTCCATCTTTTTTTTTGTTTTTTTTTGTTTTGGCTCTTTGAAATTGGAGCTGGATCTGTGACATGTCTGGGCGCTTGATTGACTTGCTTGAATGTTGTTTCTTGGTCGGGTTTTTCCTGGTAATGGGAGTTTTATATAGAAGCAGAGTGGTGAAAGGAGCAGCAGCCCTGTTCAGCTTTCAAAGGTTTTTGTTTGGATAACTATTATCTATCTCATATAGTCAATAGAAATACTTGCTTATTTAGTTCTTCATTTTGATAAATTTTTGTTGTTGTATTTGATCAGTTTTTAGGGCGCAACAAAGATGATGGTGTCCGTCGCAGCGCTGTATCTGGCAAGAAGGTATTATTAGAATAGTATTTGATTGATATCTTTTTCTTGGATCCTGTTAGTTGCAGTAGCAATATTGAATCTTCTTCCTTTTGTTTCATTGTAGATTCTTCTCAAACTGGATAAAACAAAGGAAGATAAGGAGGCCGAAAGCAAGAGAAATGAACTGCTAAACTTTTTGAATGCTAGTTTTGATTAGCATTGAGAAGGTATAGATTTGTTAGAGAGTACAACAAAGTCAGCAAAGAACCAATTTTACCATCTTGGATGCTTAATTATTTTGATATTGTCAGAATCAAGCAATCTGCCATTAAGTTGGGGTTGGGTGCGGGTAAATTGTGTTTATTACTGAAAGCCTGTGATCGAGTTTGTGGATTCTTCTTCCATGGATTTGGTGATGAGCTTTTGTAGGATGACAATATTTTGCATGAATCAAATGATGTTATAATGTTCAATCAAAACTGTATTTCTATCCATATGAAGATCTTTTTTGAATTTTTAAAAATATTTTTTAAGGTACTCCTCTATGTCTAGTGTTTTGATTACCCTCTATCTAATTTATTTTCTTACCATAGGTGTTACTCCAACTGTTTCTCTAAGTGATAGTTTACTTTTAATATTTCCTATTTTCATTTTTAGTTAAGATAGAAAATGGAGGTAAAACTATATTTGCGTATATTTTAGGAAACATTTAGAAATATTTTCAGAAAACAGGATGAAAATGAAAACAAGCCTGTTGTTTACTTAGGAAAGTTCTGTAAAAGTATTTTTCAGAAAACAGGTTGAAAATGAAAATAAGTAGTTGTTTTCTTTGGAGAATGCTGTGGCAAATAATGTAATTATAATAAGAATGGGTGTTCACTTGCCTCTTTCACTGAGTATGGGATCAATTACCCGTAATTAGGAAAAAAGAAAGTGAATTTGATGTGGTACATGGGTGTAGCTCTCTCGTTGCTAATGGTGCACACTGAATGGTAATAAAAGATGCTATGATTTAGAGTTTTCTCTCTGCTGCTAATGGTGCCACATTGGTGTATAACAGAATGGTAATAAAAAAATGCTATGATTCAAGTTCTTTGCGATGTTGAGAGGATGAGGTAAAGGGGTTTTGCACTGTGATTGGAATCCATTCAGCCGTTGTTACTGGTGGCTTCCTCTCCGTTGTTCCATCTCATTTCTTCTTGGCTCTTATTTTGTTAAATTCCTCTTCTTATTTGGCAGGGGTTTAGTCTAGGGAAAAGATGCCATTGAAGTTGTGCTTTCTCTAGTGTAGGGATGGTGACTGTGAATGGTGTGCGTTTGCAGGCCATGGTAGTAGTAATTTGTAGTTTTGTGAAAGTGCGAAGATGAATTAGAGAAAAATCATTTTCAGATTCCTTGAATGTAGCAAACACTTTTTTTATTTTTTGAAAATAGAAAATAGAAAATATTTTTATAAACTAAACAATATTTTTATAAACTAAACAACTTCTAATGTTGAGCGAAAAGACTCACTCGAAGCAATCGGGAGAGTTGATTTTGAAATGAATTTGAGAAATTTGATTTTTCTAAAATAGGATTAGTTCTGCCTCTAAAATTTATTCTTCTTAAAGTTAGAATTTGTAAATTCAATTGTAAGGAGAATAGATTAGACGAAGAAAAATAAAATAATTAGAATTAAAAGAAAATTTAGAAAAATTATACGAAAAACTAGTAACGGATCCGTGTGTGTTAGAATTAATTTAGATTTTATAATTAATTAAATATTAATTTATATTTAAGAATATCTTTTAGATTGTTTATATCTTTATTAGAAGATATATATCTTAGATTTTCTTATATTTTTGTTAGAAGATACTCCCTCCGGTCTTATATGTAAGCAAAAAAAAAAAAAGCTCACCCTTTAAGAAAGTGGTCATATATTCATTTAAATTGTGAGAAATATGCATTTTTTTTCCATATTTACCCTTATTTATTAATTTAGAATTTAATTAATAATTTTTTTATAACCATTTAATTATTGGTCCTTTTGTTTCTATCGGTGCATCTATAATGCAACTAATAAATGTCCACTTTTAAACTCTTAAACTTTCTCACTCCACATACTCTCATTGCAACCAATAAGAACACCTAGTTCAAATAATCTAAATAAATTTTTATCATGTCTTTAACCTCTTCTTGCTTGACACCGAAGTCCAATGCCGGTAATTTGTTCAGATCAAAATCACTCATATCTAGTAACTCAACAATGGTGCTTTCATTTGTTGGAGTTAGAGCATCTTCACTTTCATTCTTTGGAGTGAGATTTTCTGCACTTTCATTTGTTGGAGTTAGAGCATCTTCACTTTCATTCTTTGGAGTGAGATTTTCTGCACTTTCATTTGTTGGAGTTAGAACTACTTCAGGAACTTTGTTCAAATCCAGAGAGTCTTCAACAATGAGATTTGATAAATTCTCAGAGTCTTCAATGCCTAAATCAAAAGATGGAAATTCATTAGCTATTTGATGTGGGTTTGCCATGTTTAGAGTATAAAAAAAATAGAAGAACAAGACTCATGGTAGACAAAATACTGGATATGAAACATTTATAATAGGATATGGCATTTCAAAAGGCAATGGTAACAAATGCAACGTAAAAGTAAAAATAAATGCTCATTTGGAAACTATAAAAAGTGAAGTTATTAGAGGAATATTTTTGTTTTTGGAAAACTACAATATGAGGGTAAAATTGGAATGAAGAATTTAATTATATCAATGGTAATTAATTTTTGCTTATAATTGAGACTAGTATTTTTTTTTTGTTGCTTACATATAAGACCGGAGGGAGTATATTTTAGATTTAATTTTATGTATAAATAGTCTAGTGGAGTAGTTTATTGTAATTCATTGTAAATCTTTATTTTGAAGCTGTCAATAAATATATTTCTTTTGCCTTTATCTCTTCCTTGTGCATCAACAATTGGTATCTAGAGCTCCTGGTTAGAAACTTTGAAATTTGGAAAACATTGTTTCATTGATAGAAATTCTGGGATTTGGGAAACATTGTTTTTATTGAGTTTATGCGTAAATTGCACAAGGTAGAAGATGAACGGAAACAACGATGATATCCATGCCAAGCTTTCAGTATTTGATGACAAAAGCTGGAATCGTTGGAAGATCCAAATGCACGTGTTATTTGGTTCTCAAGATATGTTAGATCTTGTCACCGATGTCTATAATCTATTAGAAGCAGACGCAACAGAGGCACAAAAGGTAGCACATAAGGCGTTAAGGAAGAAAGATCAGAAAGTGTTGTTCTACATCCATCAATATGTGGATGCAAATGTGTTTGAGAAGATTATTGATTCTGAAACAGCAAAGGTTGTGTGGGACACACTGGTCAGAAGTTACGGTGGTGACACATCAGTGAAGAAGGTGAAGCTTCAGTCTCTCAGAAAGCAATATGAGAATCTCAACATGAAGGACAACGAGAAGGTTTCTTAGCACATCTCTAGAGTGATTTTTCACTAATGAGATGAAATCTCATGGAGAAATCCTTTCTGAACAAACAACCATTGAGAAGATCTTGAGATCTTTAACTTCTCAGTTTGATTATATTATGGTAGCAATTGAATATTCCAAAGATCTGAGCACCATGAGAGTTAAAGAGCTGTAAAGTAGTCTAAAAGCACATGAGTTGTGTATGACTGCAAGAACTTCTAAGAGGGAAGTAGAGCAGCAGACTCTGAAAGTAACTTATGGTAAGAAGCATCAGAAGCAGACTTGTTCAGAAGTCAGGAAGAAAACTAATGGTGGTCAAAGGTCAGAAGCTTCAAACTCTGATAGGCAGAAGAATGTCCAGAAGGGAAAGGAGAATTTTGACAAGCAGAATATTCAGTATTACTGTTGCAAGAACTTTGGTCACTATGCCAGAGATTGCTAGTCCAATAAAGAAAGGAAAGAAGCAAATATAGCAAGAGGAGAGTCTGATGATGAACCTGTGCTATTGTTGACTTCTGAACCTTATGATCTGAATTCATCAGAATGGTGGTATATGGACACAAGGTGTTCAAATCATCTCATTGGAAACAAGAAATGGTTGGTTGATTTTAACTATGGGAAGAGTACAAAGATCAGATGTGCTGATGATGAATACCTCAATGCAGAAGGTATGAGAAATATCAGAATCATTTTAAATAATGAGAAAGCAGCAGTGATCCAGAATGTATGGTATGTAGATGGCAGAAAAGCAATCTGATGAGTGTGGGACAACTGATTGAGAAAGATTTTTCAGTTACCATAAAGGATAATCTTTTGAAGTTGTATGACTAATCAGAAGCTGATTATGGAGTCAGAACAGGTGTTGTACCCTAATTTTTGTTTTAATCACCACAAGATCACATTAGGGCTTTTGGTTCTTCTTCTTATCTTTAGTCTTGCTCTTCTGAGGAATTATCAAGCACCTTGACTTATTTTCTTTGGTGAACATGGATATTTTGCTTTTATATTTTGCTCTAAATTAATAAATACAATATTGGTTTGTCTTACTTGTTAATAATGTAGGTAAAGGAAATGAGGATTAGCAAGTTATATCATGGGTTTATGAGTTTATTTCCATGCCCTAGTCAAAGCTTGAGAGATTCAAACCTCACCAATGAAGTTGTTTTGAAGTTGGTATGGAAGTAGTTTTGGTGGCCATGAGTCCTCATCCCCATCCTCAACAAATTCTATTCACAAAGGAAGAATATGGGCACAAAAAGTTTGTTCAAACTTGGTAAAGTTCCACCAAGCTTTCTCTTGATCTAGAAGCTAGGGTTTTGGATTTCAGAGGCGCATATCTTGCTCATCTTTTGATATTTTTGAGTGATTCCAAAAGCATTCTTCTCTTCAAAGAGTTACCAACAAATCACTTCAAAAGTTCCAAATAGTTTTCATGTGGAAGGAACTTAGTGAAGAAGAAAGATTACAAGTCACCCAGATGAATCCCTAATTTTCCATATGTGACTTCAAATGGTCATAACTTGGTCAATTTTTATCACCTTGGGCCCATTATTTTTTCATGATGATCCTAAATATGTGTACTTCATGCCTTATTTTATGATCAAAGTGAGAAAATGGATGGAGGTTGCCTTGAGAATGCAAAAGATTATAGGTCATTTCATGATTTTTGACCAACTTCAACAAGTCATAACTTGCTCAATTTTTGGGTATTTTGGTTGGTTCAAATTGAAAAATGTCATT